TTTATTCTTAGCATCATGTTTTAGCAAATTATCTTATAATGGCTTGCTGATTTAATCATATCAATTTTAATTTATGAGTCACAGAAGCACAGAAGTCACAAAAGTTGATATTAAAATATTAATTGTTCATCAGCTTCTTTCTCTTATTATTTAGTTTCTTTATTTCTTTTTTTCTTTATTTCTTTTTTAAACTAACTAATGCCAGATTGTATTTGATGGTAGTGAGTTTCTTTTCTTTCAACACAGTGAAAACTTGTATAATTATGAAATGTTTAAAAGGCTAAATCCTTTGCTATTTATTTCAATTCAAATCCAGTATATTATTATATATATTCGGAACTCAAACTATTCATCTTCATCTACAACCTTCAATTAAATTCCACAATGCAAACCTCTTGGCACTAAAACCACGTTTCATGTTTATTCTTCTGAGCCTGTGTCTTGAAAGAGTGTTGAAGTTTGGGGGTTTTCTGGTGAGAATCCACGTTCTGACATCACCTTGGCTGTGACAGTGATTGGCTGCTGGAAGGCAAAGAAGAGTTTATAGCCAGCAGGAGCGAGCAAAGGAGTGAGTGAGCAGAGGAAATACTCAATCTGTGCCACTCACTGCGTGAGCCTCTCTCCTGCACTGCCAAAGGGTAAGATTTAATATGACACCTTCCTTACCTTGAAATCAAGTCCCTCCCCAGTTTACATCTCTGGACTTGGTTTTGAATTTTTAATTTAAATATGGATGGTATTGCATTGTGTAGAATGGCTATGGGATGATTTCACACTTGCTTATTATTAAACCAGTACCTTAGATTCTCTCCAAAAGGCATGTAAATCAGTTCTTAATATCATGCTCATGAACTTGATTATACTTCTCCCTTTCTGTGTCTGCACATCATAGATAGCAGTTTGTTTCCTCCTTCTGATGCACTCAAGATAACCTGACTGTAATACTGTTTTGCACTTACAAAAGTGCCAACCTCTATGCGGATCTCTCCACCTAGTCGTACTTCATTATATGTATTATATTTTCAGTATGTTGTTATACATTTGGTTTCAAAGTGTAAATATCTGTGGCCCTAAAATCAGCACTAATATTACATATTTCTATAGCACAAATATATATATATATATATAGTAGTGGAGAAATAAATAAGTTTGGTAGTATATCATTCTCTTCCCAATAAAAACTTGTAATTAAGTTCTCAAAACTATCTTTTAAGAATGTTTGAACTGTTGTCTGGGTTAGTAGTGGTCACTATAAAGTCTTTGCTTTTTGGTGAATCACAAAGTAAATAAAACGAGATTTATGTAGGCAGCCAATTGCTGCCTACATGAATCACTTCTGTTTTAATTTGTGCTATGTTTTCATCTGGTTGTTTTTGTTGTGTGTTATGAGAAATGTATGCAATGAGAACTCGTTCTGCAGTTTTATGTATTAAGTTTTTAGCTCTTTAAAATGTTATAAATATTCCAACCCTTTTCCTAAATCTGGAAAACAACCTCCTTCCTGTTTGCTGATGGCAGCGAAGTTCAAAGCACTTTTCAGAGCAATCCAATAGCAATGTGAGCTTGTCAAACAGATGGGCCCCCTTAGGGGCAAAGCATCTTTGTTCCCATGTGGCCATTCCCTTCTGAGGTAAAGAGGACTGTGAGGAAGTATGTAGACACCCAAACCAAAAGACCCCCCTCTGCTACACAAATAGAACAACTTAGGACCCAAGATAGCTTCTTCCAGGCCTCAAGCCTTACTCTGTGTAATGTTTATTTTACCGTCAGATACTCAGTAAAGATGCAATAAATCTTGAGTGATGATGACAGAATACAAACTTTACCCTCAGGATACAACGTATGACAAGGATTTTGTCCATTTTAAATATTACTTTTTAAAGTGTATTTATGGGGAAATTGCCTTCACCATCACGTATTGCTTCCAAATTGTTGTCAAAGCTGTGACTGTGTATGAGAAATGGCCAACAGTTAAATATGTACGTAGATGCAAGTGGGGGTGTGTTAGTAGGCATTCAGCTAAGTTTGTTCAAACCCTGCTCTAATAGAATCTTTAAACAGAATTTTGTTAAATAGAATAAAATTAAAATGGGATAGATTTCACTACCTATTTTTATTTATGAGGAATCTATGGGAAAATGAAGATCTTTCCATGGGTGTAAAACCTAAAATTGTTCAGGAACCATTCCCACTTTGAGAGTTACATCTTCCAGGTTCTACAGAATTAAGGTCTCCATGAACACCTATCACCCTGACCCTGGAGAGCCCCTGACCTGTCCATCACAGTCTCACACACTAGCAGATGGAAAGCTTAAATGGGACTGGAGAACAACTTAATTTGAGGAAATTTGTCCCCTCATATCGCAGGGGGAAACTTGGAAGAATTCTTCCCATGCAATCACCCTTAGGGGCGTGGCTGGTGGATGCCATAGGCTATGAGAATAGCATTTCATATGTTATGGATCCTCCCTCTCTACCCCCTCCACACATAAAATATCAACTTTTAGAAGATATTCATAGGAAAATGGCTTTCACTTTCCAGTTTAGTTGATGAATTTTTAGTTTAAAACCTACACAGAAGCTGGGAACTGCCTGCAGAATCATTGGCTTTAGCAATTATTTAAACTGCTTAGTTCTTGATTATAAACAGAACATACACCTACACTAATAATTCAGTTCACTTAGTTGACCCTCCTATGTCAATGATATGAAGAGACCCACCCCCACCCCAAAGTGTAAGTCTGTAATCCCCAACCCTTGCCCCCTTCCTGGATGGTACAAGTCTGTAGCCTGTTAGCAACCAAGGTGCCACAGCCTTCTGTCCCATCCCCCTACCCCCCATCCATGGAAAAACTGTCTTCCGTGGAACTGATCCCTGGTGACAAAAGGGTTCCTCATGGCCTGTTGGGAACCAGGCCACCCAGCAGGAGGTGAGCAGAGGTGAGGTGAGGACCGAGCTGAAGCTTCATCTATATTTACAGCCCCAACCCTTTGCTCACATCAGCTCAGCTCCACTTCCAGGCCCTTCCCCCTCCCCATCTTACCCCCATCCATAGAGAAATTGTCTTCCGTAAAACCGGTCCCTGGTGCCAGAAAGGTTGTGGACCTCTGCTCTAAGTATTCAAAGACTCCTGGAGTAATGAAATGGTCTCCCAGTGACAAACCACAGAAACCAGGTTAAAACCAAATATGGAACTTGAGATTATTCAAACATGTGGTAAAGTCAGTCTATACTACTTAAAAGGAAGGAATAATTTGAGAACAAAAGCAGAAATGGGGTTTTAAGCAGTCAAAATGATAATTAGAAATAAAAACAAATTAAATATTTCATCTTTCAGTGTGTGTAGAAAAGTTCTGCTCTTAGTTTTAATATTTATTAATCTCACCACTTCATTTATTCCAGAAGCAATCACCAAAATGAAGACTGCTCTAATTTTACTCAGCATTTTGGGAATGGCCTGTGCTTTCTCAGTAAGTTCTTCATTTAAAATCTACCCTTATTTCCATTTTTGTTTTTTTATGTGCAAGAAAGGATAAATAACAGTGTTTAATATTCTATTAAACAGATGAAAAATTTGCATCGAAGAGTCAAACCAGAGGATTCTGAAGAAAATGGGGTAATTAATTTTAACTTAGTTCCTTGGCCCATTGGACTTCAGATTTACTGTACATTAACCATGAATATATCATTGCCCTGTTTACACAGGTGTTCAAGTACAGGCCTCGATACTATCTTTACAAGCATGCCTACTTTTATCCTGCTCTGAAGCGATTTCCAGTTCAGGTAAGTATAAAAATTAACTTTTCTTCAGTTTAATTTCCATGTTAATTTAAAAGGGATCAAATTCAACTGCAAAACAACTAAACTTAACTTTTATTGAAATTCAGCCAGAAGGACTCCTCACTAATAAAAAAAGTTTGTTTTCAATGTCATAAAATAAAGTTTATTTCTACATTCTCTTTTAAAGCAAAAATCCACACAGAGTAAAATCATTTAGGTCCAGTCCAGCATGATATAGTAATAACAAACACCTTGTCATGTTGAGGTCAAGTGTTTTCCTAACTGATAAAAAGGGCGATTTTACCAGTTGTGAACAATTAAGTCAGAGAGAAGGTCATTAATTACATGTCATTATTACAGTTGAGTCAACACTATCACACAACTGTTTTATATTCAATACTTTAGCATCTTCTAATTGGCAGGAGAAAAAGACATCAGAGACCATTAAAAACAAAACGTTGATGATCAATGATAATCGATGAAGATTTGAGTAGGTCGCTAGACTAATAAGTCATACATTAGAGCATAATTATAGTGGAAGTGTGGTCCAAGAACTACAAAGGAAAGAGTAAAATTCGTGAAGTGTCCTAACCAGTTTGTGAAAAAAACAAGCCATCCCTAGAATTTGTCAACAAAAAGGAAAATAACTACAACTAAAAATGAGGGTTTCCATTTTTACTGAGTTACCTGTGAAGAGTGCCTTTGAAAGCCTGAGGGCGTGGTGTTGATTTTAAATATACAACAAACCAGAACTTCACTATTTTTAGTACTATACAGTTTGTGTGCAGGACACCAATTATGCACCATTTGACCCAGGACTTCTGGGACACTGAAAGCAGCGGGGATGCTGAAAGCAATGCCTCAGCCTGGAGGCTTGGATCCCATTGCACCATATGTTAGGCTAACCCATCTGTAACTCATATGATGGTAGGAAATGATAATCTTAAAGTATTTCTAGCACCATCATAATTATGGGGAATTTGTGTGGCCACAGAAATATGAGCATGAATGATACAAGAATTGTGGGTTTTCTGAATTGTCTTCCATTCTTTGGTTCGCCTCAGTCCATAAATAAACAGTGCTCATTTGAGAGTTTGCTCTGTTCTCTTTTTTGTACTGAGTAGAAATGATTATAAATTCAAGTTTCTGACTAGCTCCTTAACTTTTCTGAAATATCAGATACTTAGGGATAGTCATTCCCATCTAGATATTTTTACAGAGGTAGATGTGTGGTCCAAGTAAAATGTTCATATTGACATATTATTATTAGAAGTTACATTCTTCAATATTGATGACTTAAAATTCATAGATCAAGTGGATCTTTAATATACAGTTTTTTCATACATTTTATGCAGATAGATCTATCTCAACTAATGCAGAATTTGTAAGATAGCTGGATTTTGTTTGTTTTGTTTTGTTGAGATAGGGTCTCACTCTGTTGCCCTCTCTGGCCAGCGAGAAGTGACATCATCATAGCTCACTGCAACCTCAAACTCCCGGGATCAAGCTGCCCTCCTGCTTTGGCCTCCTGTGACTAATTTTTAAATTTTTTATAGAAATGAGGTCTTGCTATGTTGCTAGGCTGGTCTTGAACTCATGGCCTCAAGAAATCCTCCTGCCTCTGCCTCCCAAAGAGCTAAGCTTTCAAGAGTGAGCAACTGTGCTTGGCTTAAGATAGTTATTTTAAAATAAAATTCCAGAAAACATGCATGTATCTCCCAATCCAACTGTCTGGCCTAGAATTTATGATGTATTCTCCAACTTTACAAAATTTGATTTTTCCCAAGTATATCAAGTTAGGTATTTAGTGCCCAAATTGTCACCCCCAAATGCAGTAAGCTGCACTGACTTTGAAATTTGTGTTTTATTCGAACAAATCTGTGTTTATACACAATCATTTCTAAAATATCAATTAGATATTGACATTAGGATTGCAGAGCTATGGACAGTCCACTATAGCTTCTTTATCTGCTAGGCTTAGGAACAAAACTCCATACAAGCTCAACACCTTAAGCTCTTTTAATTGAGAAATTTGCTTTTTATGATTCAAATGATTAGTGTATGAACTCTTAGGGAACAAGAACTCCATCTTATATTTCTTTTATGGGACTCACCTCAGCTATAATATGAGAGTTTTGAGTTCTCAGAGTGGTTTTCCACTTCAGAAGTCTTTCTGTGTGTGAAGTCTTTATCTTCGTGACAAATCGTAAGAAGGCACATACTACATGTGAAAGAAAGGGGGGAAAAGAAGAAACTGCCAAGGCTCCAGGGCCTTTCATACAGCTTTTGAATCGTTCTCACCACAGACACTGATTGAAGACTGATGTGGTTGAGTTAGGGAGAGAGCGAGAGGTAAAGAACCACGTAAAGTAACTAAAACACACACATTTCCGCTGATTGCATAAGTGTACTGTCCTCTATATTAATTTAGCTAACAAATAGAAAGAGTTCAAATATAATATTTTGCTTTATTCACCCTCTGGGTTAGGAGAGGCACAGCCATTAAGGTCAGGGCAATAGAAGAACAGGTCTAATTATTCCCCTTTCCACCCAAGGTTATTCTTGGCTCCAGGGGACAAACATTCCCTTTCCTTGGGTGGATGACGTGGTCATCTGAAAAATGAGGTCAGCAGGGACAGCTCTGAATGGGACTGGGACATGAGTGTTTTCTCACATCTAATTTCTAACCCAGAGGTTAGAGGTTCTTCTGCAGCGATGTTTTCTAAATGCTAGATGCTTCCTTAACGGTGGCATCAGAATCAAAGCTAATATTTGCAGAGCAGAATATGGCAGAATATTCAGTTGGGGATCCATTTGTACACTTGTTGCCATTAGGGATGTTTGCAGAAAAGGAAGGAAAATTCATTTAAAGGTATCCCTGAGAAAGAGAGGAAGAGTCTCCTTTATCATTGTTAAGGCTCTGACAACAGATGTGTAGATTTTATTTCCTTTCAAAAAATAGCAAAGCTCAGGCTCAGTGCCTGTGGCTTAAGCAACTAGGACACCGGCCACATGCACCAGAGCTGGTGACTTTGAATCCAGCCCGGGCCTGCCAAACAATAATGACAACTACAACCAAAAGATAGCTGGGTGCCTATAGTCTCAGCTCCTTGGGAGGCTGAGGCAAGAGAATCTCTTAAGCCCAAGAGTTGGAGGTTGCTGTGAGCTGTGACACCGTGGCACTACCCAGGGCAACAGCTTGAGACACTGTCTCCAAAAAAAAAAAAAAAAAAAAATCAAAGCCCATTAACTTATAATTATATTTTTATATACAGAGTGCTTGGCTTAATTTATTCTCATCCAATGCTAAGCTCTTTAGAGAGATGATACTCTATAAAATGTCCTAAATGAGTAAATGAATATATTTTCTCATATATAGGGTATCCATAAACTTCATGTGCAATTTACTATGTTAAACTATTTTAAATTACACATGACCTTTATGTCTACCCTGTATAACTTTTGCCTCACTAAATAGATTAACCTTTTTTCAGGGATTAGTTTTAATTAGATTGAAAAATACAAAAAGTATATGCACATTTAATTTCTCGAAATCAAATTTTATTTAAATTCACCAGGAGAGCTCATTATGTAGGAGAATCTTCCGGTAACAACTTATATTTTATAGTAGGCTACATTATCATTTCATTTATGTCTTAAAAATAAAATAAAACAATCTGATCTATGTCATCATCCAAGATCTGCCTTTAACTGGCTGGTGAAGTCACAACTTTTGGAGGCTTCTGAATCATTCTCCATAAAATTAAATTGGATCAGATACTGCCTTTGATCTTTCAGAGTTAAACAATTCTGTGATCCATTGGTCTGGGTTATATAAAAAGCTTTCAACATGTTGAAAAAGCTTTCCCACGTGTGTCAATGCTTTGGGAGTTGAAAATGAAGTACTCCGATCTCTGTCTCGATCACTGTAAAATTCCACTCCTTCTCCAACTCCCTATATGCCCAATCTCCTGCTCTGTTTCTCACAGCAGAATGAGACCTGTTCAAAGTAAATAGGTCGATCAAGTTGGTGGTACTAATACCTACACCTCTTCTAAGTAAATAAACCAGTCAAATCGGTAAGTATTTGTATTTTATCTTATTTCAACCAGCAAGAAATTTTAGTTGCTGTTTTGTATACATATTTGTATGTATGTGTATATATATATATACACATGTATATTATTTTCAGAGCAGTAGTGACTCATCTGAAGAAAATGAAGATGGTGATAGTTCAGAAGAGGAGGAGGAAGAAGAGGTAAGGAATTTTGCAGTCTTTTCATAACAAACCAGACAGGACAAAAAATGAATAGGAAACTAGCCCACTGTGGTCTGAACTCAGCTAATAGCCATTTCTACCTTCCTATCACTATTTTGGATAAGTAGAATGTTATTTAAATTAAAATCAACTAAATTGACCTGTTTCAATACTACTACAGTTTGGGGTTAAAGTTACCTACAAATGGTACACAATTAATGCCTCCATTTTAAGTGAAAGAAGTATAAAATTTGATGAAAGGTAACAGAAAGTATTATTTATTTTAGGCAGATAGAATATGATGATAGAAGACAAGTAAATATTTCTAAACTCAAGGTAATACTTGTTTTAAGGACTGAACTTTAAAAATTCAATTTACTAAGTGGGTAATGTGTAAAAGCTGATTTATAACCCTGACTGTATTATTATGATTTACATGTCTTTTATAAGTCCACGAGTAGGGTTCTTCTTAATAAGAATTTTATATGTATGTCTTTTTGTGTAATAACCAAATTCATATTTTTAAAGAACTTTAAATACTTGGGATGTATAAATATCTTTCTATATAGTTCTGCAAATTAGTGTAGTTCGTGGCTAAGATTCATCCACATACCTTGGGAGGTGTACTAGCTTGTTTATAACAGACACTCTTGCCTAAGGACACATACCAATTAGGATGCATTTTCCTGGAGAGTCAATTATGGCTATGCACTCCTTGGGAACCTTCTAAATTCAGGTACTTTTAGAAGCTATTTATAAATGAACAATGACAGTCAAAACTGGCTTATGTATAAACATCAGCTATCCTGAAAACAAAATGGTATGATAACTTGAAAGCTGCCTAACCATTGGTTTGGTTTTTTGTTTTGTTTTGTTTTTACCACAAAAGCAACATTTCCCGTATCATAATTTTTACCAATAGCTTGAAGGAAGGCCGTACAAAAATGTCAAGCTAGTGCCAGAAAAAAAAATGCTGCCTACTAAATCCCATGAAATTTTGCCTGGAATTTCACGTAGCAGTCTTACACAAGAACTAAGCTGGGGTTATCCATTTAACGGTAGCTATTTGCTGAACAGGGATTGTAACATTGCCTTGCCAACTAGAATTTCCAATTAGATTGTGTACATTTTGGCAGTGATTCTTCATTTGTTGTGGACGTAGTTGAGAATGGAGGAAGATTAGGACTCCTTTGGGGTTCTGATGAAATCACAAACACTCCCAAATTTTGTCAACAATCTCTGAACAATTGTGGCCCTCCCAGAACTTTCTGCAAACACCTCCTAACCCCAGGGACCATAGGTTAAAAATCTCTGCTTTGAGTAAGAGCTAAAACCCCTTTTGTATCTTCTAAATATTGCCCAGCATAATTTCTTATACATATATGGTGTCGGTAAATATTTGTTGGTTTGGTTTTGAAACTTCAGAGGAATAAAAACTATAAAATTATTCATTAGAAGTGATAATAGAAAAGTGGATGCATCCTGAAGACATTCTGAAACTTCTTTTTTTCCCATTTATTCTCCAAAATTTTATTAGCAATTC